AAGTTTCAAGAACACCTCTTCTTGTTCTGATGTCCTATATTACACAAATCTTATACTTTAAGGTTTTATAATGTCCTATCTTCAGTATAAAAGTCCTCATAGAATATCCTGCTGAACTCAAGAAATCACAGGAGTGGATTAATGAATTTATGACTCACTGTCTTTTTATTTTTTTAAGTTTTTAATGACTTGGCCATTGGAGATTAGAAATTCATGAAGATTCTTACAGTTGAAAAAGCAATCTTAGGATTTCAAAACACTTTTATAACTTAGATAATAGGACTACAAATTCTAAATATTCTCAGAATCATAGTCTTCCTTCCAAAACTTTATGACCCTCTCATTCCAAAGTTGTTTCAAAAGGAGAGATGGAAAAAGAGATTCACTTTGCTCCTGATAAAGGGAGAGAATCCTGCTGCTCTTGTGATAAAAGGGGGAAAAAAGGACTTCTCTTGTCATAACTTTCCTCTTCTTTGTGATTAAAGACTCTCTTATGATCATACGGACATTTCCCCTACTCTTGTGACAATACAAACTAATGACAAGGACTCTGGTAATGAAAAAAGAATCATTTCTCTTCTCTTATATACATTTTTAGAAATAACACATAAATGAGAAGTTAAACGGAACATTCTATTTCAGTATATTCTAAAAGAATGGTCAATCCCATGGCTAAAGCTTATTTTGGGTAACTGGGTTGATATTGACCATCTTGTTTAATTTTTTAAAAAATTAGCCAACTTTGGATTTGATGTTTATATTAGCTGTTGTTGAGGTCAATATGCTGCCAGCACTAAACACTAGACGATGTTTGTTTACCCCCTAGCCATCCATCTACCTTCTTTTTAGTGTGTGGTTTATCTGTGTGTGTGTGTGTGTGTGTGTTTGTAGGTGTATGTTCACATGTGTATGTTTTGTCTAGCTATAAACTGTTGCCAGTGGAACATCTTAATTATTTCTAATGATTTTATGGTAGTCCTTTAAAAATAGTTTATGTGGTAGTATAAAGGCAATTAGTAATATCTATAATCACACAAATATTAAGTACACAAACATGTAAAGACCAGGAAGGCAAAAGTGGTATAAATTAAATTAAAAATAAAATTTAGATTATTGTCTTGAATGCTTTTATTTGCAGTTAACAAAACCCAAACTAAAATGGTTTAAGCAGTGCAAAGTTATGGTAGTCATGTAATAGAAAAGTTGAAAGTTTGGGCTTTAGGGCTCCACTTCCCAATTTGAAAGTGTATCTGCCTTACTCACATTTCTGTGAGCTATGTCTTGAATTCTTTCTAATGGCAGTATGCTATCAGCAATAACAAGCTACATGCTTCCTTCTCTATACCCAAAGAAAAACAAATAATTGTTTTTTATAAGTGAGAACAAAATCCTGAACCTTGATTTTAGTGGATCAACCTGAACCAATCATTGTTGCCAGTGTAATGTCACGAGATAGCTGCTTTAACTAATTGACTTGACCTCGATTACTGCTCAGTCCAGGCCTAACTACAATTGTAATGGTGGTGTGATTATAAGTCTGCTTAACTAATATACCAATTAACATCATTGCAAGAAGATGGTGAAGGTTGATTTTATGATGTTTGATTGATATTAAGAAGCAAGGTATATATTGGGTAAATAATGATTTCCTCTTCCTAACATTTCCAAAACAAAAGCAAAAAGGTTGTGCTTTCAGAGTTAACCTTTTGTGTCTGTGAAATAATTATATTTATATTTTTTACAATCAACTGAAAAATACGATAATATGAAGCATTTTACATTTACATGTCTAAGTTTGAGGAAGTTTTGATTATTAAATTTTATATTTTGTAATTATTTAGTCAAAAACAATAAAATCATGACTTGACTTTTGATTAAACATATATAATAAAATGTCCATTTAGATAGCACTAAAATTCCAGTAGCTTTTCTTATTACTATCCCTCCAGGAGAAAGGATATAAATATGTATGTAATATATATACTGTACACTTATCTATACATACAATATACATGTATACATACACAGATATGTGTATATACATGCATGCATTTGTGTATGTATGTGTATGTATATATGCATATATGCATTACCTACATGTATTCATATATATATATATATATATATATACAAGTGACAGGAAAGGCACACCACTAAATTGATTAATTTTCAGTGAGTATTATTCTCTATTTTGCAATGAAAAATTATATATTTGAAGAAATATAAATTTGAGAAATATTGTTATAACTGGGCCCCCTACCATTGTTATGCAAGTCTGGTGGTTGGGATTGTAAATCTGGGCATATAATATTAAGGACAGGATTGGAGCTGTCTGATTTCAAGCACATAAAGTCTTAACTGCCACAGATAATGTCAACCCGAATTATTATTTCCATTTCAACACAGATTATAGGACAGGAAGACATAAATGGAAATTAAAAAATAAATTCAGCACATATTTCAGAAAGTACCTTTTCATGTGGAGAATAATAAATACTTAGAAGAGCCTGAAGGCAAAGTTGTTGAGGCAAAAAGCAGGAATGTCATTCAAGAAACAATTAGATGCTATCCTTGGGGAAATAGAGTACTAAAAAGGATATGCCTTGATGGACCAAATGACCTTTATTCTCTCTTCAAAAATCTCTCATGTTCTTATAATTCTAATCGAGAAATATTTCAGCAATTTGGCCTCCAGCAATGTCAATTCTTACTTGAATTATTCACCTCACTAGTTCACTGCTGAGGAAGAACCTTTCCCAGAGTGTTACAAAGATTGCATATTGACCAGAAGTAATTCCCAATGCTGTTGCTCACAGGCATTTTATTCACAAGGATGCCTTAATTCTGATAGCATAAAGTGCTTGTTTATAGATGTAGTCTCTTATAAGTCTAAGGTAATTGAAAATTAGCCCAACCCAGAGAGAGAGGACTAACTAGCTTTATTTATTAAAGAGGGCATGATAATTATTTAAAATATTTTATTGGCAAAATTCATTTCAAAATATAACTGATTCTAGTGGAATGTAACCTATATAAATTTGTTTCTCAACTACTTTTAGAAATGCTAATGGACTGTCTACAGCTATTGACTTCATTTCAATAGATTATAAAAATAAAAATAAGAAAATAGGAACTAAAAAGAGGTTGGTCATTTTATAGTCGAAGCAAAAATAAATGCATTCAATAATAGCACACTTTAGAAAGCTAGAATTGATACCTAAGAAATGCAATGAACAAATTTTACTTGGTACATTTGACTAAGTAGGGGAAGGAGGAAATCAGCTATCTACACTTTTATGGTTTTAGATCTATTCTTCTGAACACAGAATTCTTGAGAACTCAGGGATAGTGTGAGAACTACAGTTCCCCTATTATGTTCTTAAAGTGATATTCAGTGAAAGAAAAAAGAACATTTTCTATCTGTCATCCCAAATGGACTCCTAGAGTTCCTTCTCTGTATCACAAATGGGAACTCCGTGGTGAACTGAGTGTCCAGAGAATATTTTCAAAAGCTAATGGAAGGTCTCATAAATTGGACAGTTCAAAGCAAAAGAAACCAGAAGCTTCAAAAATGCCAATATATTTAAGTATTTTTACACAAATATTTTATGAATTGTTGCCAAAGATGAAGGTTATATCAATTGTGTTTAAAAATATATACCTTTATTTAAATGGAAACTACTTTTATGCTAGATGAAATCTACTAATAGTGTATGCATAAAGTTATTATTTAATACATTTAATATATACTACTATAACAAAGCATTATACTAATAAAGTAAATGATAAAGTTTACAAAATAGTCTATAAAAAAGAGATAGGTGAAAATATTATGGTAAATGATATGGTCTGTGGACCATATCATACAACCATTTAAAGTATGCAAACATAGCTAAGATAGTGAACTTTCTATTTATGGAAAGATTACCTCTCATCTAGAAAACAGATATTTAACAGTGTCCAATGTATAGAGAATAATCTTATCACATAAATTTAAAACACTAACTAAAATATTAAATCAAATAATTCTGAAACCATGCATGATAAAATGAGAACTTTTGTAAAAACAGTATCAAACAGCTAAATACTATTCTGTAGCTTATGATTATTATATCAATTAGCCTAGCATTTTAGTGGTTTAAAGGATTTTAAGAAATCTCATATAAGTATGAAATACTTATTAAAATAATTAATCTAATAGCCTATAAAATTTCTTTAGTCATCTAATTTAGTTTTAAAAATGGCATTTGATCATTCTTGTTGGTCTTTTTTATATTTGAAGATAGCTGGAAAATATTCAGAGATTTTCCTTGTGAACAATGTATATGATCATACTGAGTAATCAATCCATCCTTTTTGTTCAATAATATTCTATGATTATAATGTAATGAGACCAATTCTGTACTACTCTGGTATAAAAATTAGTATCAATATTTGTTTAGACTGATACTTTTTGCTTGGTATAGAATATGATGTGTTGTCACAGCTAATTCACCTGATAAAATTCTAGCCCAATTAATGATCAATATTTCATTATGTTTTTGTTCTTATTTAACCTCCTAACCTCATTAATTTTTCTAGGTGGTAGAATTTTTCTGAAACCATCTAAATTCCTACATTAAATATTGAAGAAATTTACATCTTAATAAATTAAATCTGCTTTAATTTATCTTTCTCTAAGGAATTAACAAAAATTATACAAATTAAAATGATGGAAAAACATTATTTTTTTGTGAATATAGCAGGGGTGGCATTAGGCACAGAATTCTGAAACTTGGAGATTAAAAAAAATCTCAAATATATTTTTCTTCCCTGTCAAGTCACACAAGTTAATAAGTAAAAATTGTAGACTTCGACAATTGATTCTAGAAATAACAAAAATACTTGACACTCTTGAAAAGTGAATTGTGTGTTCTATTTCTATTAAAGGAGGTCTAGGCAAATAGGACTAACACATTCCTACTGAGAAGAATTAGAAAAACCTGGCAGACTATAAATACCTCTCTTTGACAGCATCAGAGAAATTTCAAAACAGTGAAGAATGATGGAGTCAATACCTGAGAGAACAGAAGAGAGAAGAGAACTTAGCATTTGAGGTCACTTGTCCCCTAGAATGCTTGCACATAAAATGTGGCCCAGGGACCACCTGACAGTCCTTGAATGTCTTGTATCAGTTAGTGAAAAAGTAAGGAGATGATTTGCTAAAATATATACATGGATTGAAAGCATATGAAAAGATGCTTTACTTTTTTAGTCTTCAGAAAATTAAAAATTGAAATCATAATGAGAAGCCCTCATATACTGCTTGTGGAAATGTAAATTAGTTAAACAGATTTTAGTAAACTCTTTTAAAGTATCTGCTAGAATTAAAATTATGAAAGAAATTTTTAAATTTATTTCAAAAATATAGGCTGTTCATGTGTTTTTTTTTTTACATGGATAAATTGTATCATGTTGAAATTAAAGCTTTCAGTGTATCTGTCACCAGAAGAGTATATGTTGTACTCAATAGGTAGATTTTTTTCTCCCTCATTCCCTTCCCACCCTCTCCCATTCTTAGTTTCCAATGTCCATTACTGCTTTTTTTTTTTTTTTTAAATATGACACCTCCATTTCCTGCTCTATTAGAAATAGGGACACATTTGCTCTAAGAGACATATACTATATGTATATGTATAACATTGTTTATAGTAGTAGCAATCTGAAACCCAAATGCTCAATAGTAGGATGTATAAATAAGTGATATATACATATACTAAATACCTTACAACAAGGTAAAATAACAAATTTATGTTCCTGGATATCAAGGATGAGTCTCATATAGCAATAAATTGAAGAAACAATTCAGATTTAAAAGTACTGATTATATATAGCATTTATATCAAGTAAAAATCTTTCCAAGCTATTCTGTGGTATTAGAAGCCAGCATAGTGCTTACTTTTAGTGAGAAGGGAAAGAGTAGTGACTGTCAGTGGTCAGGCCTACAGCCTTACAGAAATGAATTATACCAAAACCCGAATGATTTCTTCCAGAATTGAGCCTCCAAATGAGAAGTCAATTTTTAATTTGATTAAGTTAAATTTTTCAATGTTGTCTATTATAAATCACACAGCTGGTTTCATACATAAGAAATCTTTACCTAAGTAAAGGTCAAAAATATCTGTTATATATTTTTCTCTATCAGTCTTATATTACTTCTTACAAATAGGTCTATTACCCATTCTGAAGTTTGGTTTCGTGGGACTTCCTTTATTTGGCATAACTTCTGGTAAGGATATAAGTTCACCTCATTTATGTGTGTATGTATATATGTATGACGTATATGGGTTTTACATTTAGGTATGTAATTGTTCCAGCAGTGTTGAAAACATGATTCCTTTTCCACTGAAAAGCACTTTTTATCAAAAATCAGTTGACCATAAATGTGAAGGTGTATTTTCTCTTCTATTCTATTAAGATATATGCCTATGTTTATAACAATTTGTGCTTTATTAATTACCATAGTTTATAGTAAGGTGTGAAATTGGTCAGTCCTTTTTTGGTTCTTATTTTTCACTATTGTTATAGCTATTCTAGTCCTTTACCTTTTTAAATAAATGTTATGATCAGTTTGTTGATTTACAAAATAAGACTGGTAGGATTTTGATAGGAATTTTGTTGAATCTGTAGATTATTTTGGGTAGAATTGCAACATTGTTAACATTTATTATTCCAATCAATGAGTATGATATAGCTCTTCATTTATTTAGAGATATTTAATTTCTCTCAGTAATCTTTTATAGTTTTTGGTGTGTGAGCCCTACACCTTTTTTGTTCTATTGATAAAATTACTCCTAAGTATTTTTATGTTATTGTGAATCAAATTGATTTCTTAGTTTCATGTTTTTTATATTTTATATTAATGTCATAGCCTGTAATATTGCTAAACTCCTTTATAACATATTTTTTATAAGTTGCTTATTTGTAAATGATTTTAAACTACATAAAATATGTTGTGAATAATATAATTTTTATTCTTTCTTTTTTAGTCTATTTGCCTTTAATAACCTTTTATAACTTATTATATTGGCTTAAAGCTCCATCAAAATGTTGAATGGGAGAAGTAGGAGAGAATCTCGATCCCATGTATCCAGTCTTACAGGGAAACAGTCAAACAAGGTCTGCTGTTAACTGCAGTTTTTCTGGGAGATGTTCTTTATCAAGTTGAAAGAATTAACTTGTCTTCCTAGTTTATTGAGAGGTTTTATTTTTTGTTTTTCTAAACTGTGAATGTGTTTTAGATTTTTCAAATGTTATTTTTCTGTATCTATTTTAATAACCATGTATACTCATCTAGCTTTTTGTTTGGATCACAAGGAATTTTTAAATCAGTGAATAGTTCCATTGTATAAATACGCTTCAATTCATTTCAATTCATTTATCAGTTCACCTTGTGTAAGTCCATTTGCTCTCTATTACAAAATACTATAAACTGAGTAGCTTACAAAAAATGAAAATTTATTTCTCATAGTTCTAGAGGCTACCAAGTCCAAGATCAAGGCAGAGTTCATATTTCTTCTGGCAAAGGCCTAATTTCTAATTCATTGACAGAGCCTTTTCACTAAGTCCTCCATAAAAAGGGAAACAAAGCTCTTTTGTGCCTCTATTACAATGGCACTGATATTGTTACAATTGTTTGCATCCCCCCCCAAATTTATACCTTGAAATCCTAATTCTCAAGATAACAGTATTAGAAGGTAGGGCATTTGGGACATGATTACATCATAAGGATTTAGCTCTCATGAATGAGATCAGTGCCCATATAAAATAGATACAAGGGAGTTTGCTCGCCCTTTCTATCCCATAAGGATGCAGTGGAAGGTGCTGTCTATGAGGAAACAGGGCTTCACCAGACACTGAATTTGCTGGCACCTTGATCTTGGACTTGTCAACCTCCAGAACTGTGAGACATAAATGTTTATTGTTTATAAGCCCTTCAGTCTGTGGTATTTTGTTAGAGCAGCTCAAAGGGACTAAGACAGGTAATAATTCCATTCATAAGGTCTCTGTCCTTATTTCCCAAATCCCCCAGCTCCTAATACCATCATCTTGGGGGGAGACGATCTCAACATATGAATTTTGGAGAGACATATGTATTGAGACAATAGCATACCTATTGATAGACACTTGTGTTGTTGCCAGTTTGAGGTTATTATAAATAAATTATAATGAATATTCTTTATGTGTACATATGTTTTCATTTCTCAAGGGTAAACACTTAGAAGTAGAATTTATAGGTTGTATGCTTGGCATTTAATTTTTATAATAAATTGCTAAAAATCTTTCCAAGGAGGTTGTGTCATCTTAGGCTCCCACCAACAAAGTATAAGAGTTCTAGTTTCTCCACATCTTCACTACCATTGGAGTTGATAATTAACTTAAAAAAAACAGACCATTACTAGTATATAGAAGAAAAAGCTTCCAAATAAATAAAAAAGAGAAAGTTAGAAAGCAAAAGTAAATTTTGTAAAGGAGATGAACTGAATTTCAACTATAGGGATGTGAATAGCTAATAAAAACATCAAAGCTAATTTCAAATTATTGATAATGCAAGAAATAAAAACTTAGATACTAAAAGGATGTAATTTTTTGGCTATTAAACTGATAACAATTAAGACGTATAATATGCAGTTTTATTAGACAATTTGGGAACCAGGCATCCAACATATTGGTAGCAGAATATAAGTTGGTAACATTCTTGCCTTTTTATGTGCCTTGTAATTTTGCATTGAAAGCCAGATATGTTGTATGGAAGAGAATAAGTAAATAAATCTTTATTATGAGTATTTATGTTAATCTGAGTAGGAGCTGGACCTCAGTTTAATGTTTTTTATAGCTATAAATGTCAGAGGCTTAAAATTCTAGAGTATTTTTTTTTTTTTTACCTTTTCGCTTTGGGATTCTTTTAGTACTTTTCATCAGAGAGAGTCTATGACTTGCAGTTCTTTCACTTCTAATCCACTATTATTACACTGGAGCCCTATTGTAGAGGTGGTAAAGTGTGGAAGAGAGAAGACGTTTTAAAATCAATTATATCTGGACTCTTAGTGGTCTTTTTTCTCTAACTTGTGATTTTCAAGCATGCTTCTTTTGGAACAGCTTACTCTCCCTTTGGTGAGACAGGAAGATTAGAGGATGGAGTGACAGCCCTTATCCCATGGTTGTGAAGTAAGACTTTAGTGAAGACTTCCTCCGTGGAAAGGATGTCTTTGTTATGTTAAGGCTGCATACATGCATATAACAATGATTACTCTTCTCTCCCTGCTGAAACTATAAGAGAACGTCTTCTGGACATTCACTGTGCAAACCTGATAGAGTTCCTGGAAGCAAAATCCATGAAAGAGTTGGACACTCTAAGACAACATCCCCCAGCAATTCTTACTCCCATGTTGTTCCACATTTAGCTTCCAGCAATTTATGAAAATGACCATTCATATGTTTTTTCCAGTTTCTCATTCCAGTGGCTTCTATTCCAGGTAAGCTCATCTGAGCCATGATTCTCTGTATTCTTCTTTTTCTCCAGATTTCAGAGAGGTGGCTTGCTCTGCAAACTAAGTTCTCTTGTGGGTCCAAGAAAAGTTGCTTTTCAGGTTGCCTAGGTTTTTCTTGCATGAATGTGATGACTTCCAAACTATTTGTATGTCAAACCTGAAACCACAAGTTGTTTAACAGAATTTTTACCACAACTATTTGTAGAATTTTTGTGTAATTTTGTGACAGCACACACTTGACATATATTGTTAAAATGTTTCAAGGATGGGAAAAGCGATGCTTTTGTGTCAGTTGGGTCCTTGTCCTTTGGGAGAAAGATGTTAACACAGGTTTCAAAGTACCTGGTGGGTTGGGGAGGTCAAAAGAAAAATGAGGTATTGGTTAGGATAAGTCTTCAGAATGTAATGAAAATATAACACCTTTGAAAAGAAAGAGATGGGGAAAAGGATTGACATAGAGTACCACAGATGATGAAAAATATCTGAAAACATCTTAGTCAATTCAACACAGTTTTACAGCTAATCTTACCATTAAGAAAATACTATCCTAGGAATAAATAGGCAGATCTAGCAGTCCTGAGGGCTGTTAGGTAAGCTCATGGCCGTAGCTCTAAAGCTGAAGCAAATCCTGAACACATGGCAATCGGAACCTATTAGCTAAGTATACTCCTGACACCGAACAGCATATTTTTCCTTGAATGGAGGTTTTAGCTACACATTTCCAGGTTGTCATAGTTTTTCATTAGGAACACATGTTCAGATATGCCTAGAATAGAGGTAAGCTTAGGTGTCTGTCTCCTTGCCTTTTCCACAAAGCTACAAGTCTTGCTGTCTCTGTTTTGTGCTGCTATAACAAAATACCTGAGACTGAGTAATTTATAAAAAATATAAATTTGTTTCTCACAGTTATAGAGGTTGGCAAGTCTAATTCAATGTCCAAGCGGGCTTGTTGCCTAGTGAGGGTCTGGTATCTGCTTTCTGGTTGGTTCCTTGAACCACTGTGTCCCCAGGAGGGGAGGTACACTGTGTCCTTACTCAGCAGAAGGCAGGGGGGCAAAATGGCAAAAGTGGCAAACTGCTTTCATCAAACCCTTTTATGAAGACACCTAATCCCATTCATGAGGGCATCATGACTCATCACCTCCCAAAGGCTACACCTCCCAATGCTCCTGCATCAGGGATTCAATTTCAATGTGAATTTTGAAAGGGGCAAAAAAAAAAAAAAAAAAAAATTGAACCGTAACACCTAACTATTCTGATTCTATAACTATAATCATCTTGTTTGGTCAAGGTCACACTTCACTGGAAAAAGATGTAGAGGGAAAAAGTAACAGTGAAAATGTGTGGCCAATAATGATCAAATACCTCACTTCTATTAATATAATACTATCTATCCGTACTAATAATATATGAAAATTCATATTTTGTGTCTTGTTTTGCAAAGTTTTACTAATAGAAAATAGTCTATTAGAACACCATAGAAAAATAGCCTAGACGTAGAAATCTAAAAATGCCATACATGTAAATATTACATTATGAAACTACTCATCTTATTTTGGAAACATTCTACTAATTCTATATTTTGCTTGATTGAATACACACTTGTTACATTTCTTTATCAAGAATAACACTTCTCTGTATCTTATATTATGATAATGTGTAATAGCAGAGGAGAGGTAAGAAACTATAAATCTGCATGGACTGTTTATTTTGGGTTTGTTTTAATTTCATCAAGAGTATGTCAAGCACCCAATGAAATGTGATATTGGTTGAGAGAAAGTTATGAAGATATAGCTTAAAAGCTCCTTTCCATAGTTTTTTGATGCAATTTTAATATACTGAATTTCCTCCCTCATCTTAAGTTAAAGGTATTTATCTTTACTTTTATTTTAAGTCAGTGCTATGATTAAAATGTCAAACAAAAGTAAAAATCATCACATTTGCCCTAATTCATCTTAATAAAATTTGAATCAAGTTGCATCAGATATTTTTTATGTTTCAGCTTTAGTAATAGAATACTTGACAATTTTTTTAATGATGCTTATTTTGGCATTCAAATCATGCCTAGAGGGATTAGCATCAGTAAGAATTACCTCGGAGAAGGCTATGTTTACTTGTTTGTTTTTTGGAGCAGCATTTTTTTCTAGAGAAATTATGAACCAAAAAGTAGCTTTAAGAAACAGTTTTTGATTTCTAAATAAATATAACACTTTAATTTGTAATTTATTAATGGATTTACAAAAGGAAGACATAGCAACATAGTGTCTGCCTCTCATGATAAAAGCATTAGCAATATATTACATGATGTAAAGGATCATACAACATTTCATCATTCACTGGCCAATCTGCTATGAAAATCATGTTTTTACAAAAGGAAAAATGATGAGCATTTATCACAGTCATTTAGGACAAGCACATTATTATCCAATTTGTGGAGAAGTAAATTTTCACAAGGTACATTTTTAAGATTGAAAGGAGACTTAGCCTCTATGGAGACACAAGAAGAAATTACCCAAGAAAAAAAATACATCCTTAATAGGCCAGCCTGATTACAAAATAGCTGACGTTTACTCCTTAATATTTTTTATGTTTTATTTTTTTAAAAAAGAAAAAAATATAACTTCATTTCAGAAATCTCTTTCTATTCCTTTTTTAATACCTCATCCTTCACTGGGAATATTCTGATACATTCTGCAGAATTCTTTATAGGATCACCAGAAACTGAGCCCAGGGACTTCCTGCAGAACTAGCTCAATAATACACACATGTCTTTTCTTCCTCATCTCAGTCTCTCTAGGACTTCACTTTGCTTCCTGAAGTCACCTCCCAATAGACTACCTGTTCCCAAATCCCTTAGGCCTGTTTTTGCAATAACTCAACTAAAAAAAAATCAGGAGATTGGTTTTTGCCGTGATTATTCAGTATTTTTAAGATAGCCAAATAGAAATATTATATAAGATCTTCAACAGCCTTTTCTGAAACTCAGTGAATGTGTTTTTGGCAGAGAGGTAACAACTGATTCATAGGCCTAGAAGAAAGTCTTCCTAGAGAGAGAGACTATGAGTAGAGAAAATAACCAAGGGCTTGGCTCTGATTAAACAAGATATATCAAGGTAGAAGATATAATGGCAACAGATTCTGAAAGTGGCTAGGGAAATTAATAGATTGACTCCAAATGAGAAACTTTAGTGAAGCAAAGCACATCCTGTTTAAGTGTTCTCAGTGGTTAAATAAAATAATAACTAAGAATTCTCTATAATTTAGAGATTATAAATTATAGGAATTCTCTTATAATTTAGATATGAAATGACTTTTACTAGAATGATGGGCAGAAGCCACACCTAGTTGTTTTACTGGAAGATGAAAACAATGGAGAACTAACTACCTGGTAAGCCATTGATACATGATTAAAGGACCTATGAATTCTATGGACAATCTACTTCAATGGAGAATTCAAAGTATCTATTGATATATTCAATTCAAAATAATCTATTTGCTCATATTTTGATCCTCAGATACTAACAACACAAAGTATTTTGAGTATTTATATTTTGGTTATTTATTTTAAAATTTATAAATTTAATGAATATTTAAACTTAAAAATATATGGTAATTTTATTTTATTAACATTTTACCACAGAAACATACCACGCACTTAAATATCAAATAAATACGAAAAGTAGAACATTTCTTTGTATCCTGACTTTTATCCTAGGCCATATATTATGCAGAAAAATCAAGTAAGCATATATTACCTTGTTTCTGAAACTGACACATATCAGCAGTAATAAAACTTCAATTAGTTAAATAAAAATAGCATGGAAATAAAGTAAACATTAGTAACTATGATTTAATAAATCCTTATGACTTAATGAGTAATAAAAGGTATATTGTTAGTGTTAAGAACACAAACTCTGAAGGTGGATTGCCCAGATTTGAATCCTTTGTCCATTCCTTCCTATCGTTTTGATCTTAGGCAAGGTATCTTATCTACCTGTGCCATAATATCTTAATCTGAAAACCAGGTATAATTGTAAAGATTGCTTCTTAGGATTGACAGGTGATCGAATGAGCTATTCCCCATGTAAGCATAATTAAAACATAATTGGCATGGTGTAAGCACTCAGTGTTAATAGTAGCTATTTTATTAAGTGTTTATTATATATACAGCTCTATAACATGTATATTCTAACATTATCGCTCTTAACCACTCTGTAAGCTACTGAGTTATTAAAGTGTAGGAACTTTATAAAACTCACTAGCAAATCTAGCTTGTCAGAAATAGAATTGTGCAAATCCAAAAATTAATTTCCTACCTTGTATACTGTATTTGTAGCCAAAAAGCCAATAGCTTTTCTCTCCTTCTCTCTGAAAGTCAATTACTAGCTTTATTAATACACAGAAATTTCTGGGACATTCACAATCAATGGTATAAAAACTACACAAATACATCTCTGAAATAATTTGTTCATGTGGCATTCAGCCTTCATTATCTCTGAGAACATACTGGGGAAATTAGTAATATGTCTTCTCTCTTCATTCTTTTATTTTACAAATACTTATGAAAGGTTCAACATTTAAGACAGGATTGCTTTTTATAAAGTGAGAAAAGATACCTTGCTAGAGTATATCAGAAAATGATAGATTTACATTTGTAGTGCAATAAAATATCAAAGGTGGTAAAGGACATAGAAATGACTCTCTAATGTTATCTACTGCCTGTTTCACTTTTTAGGTTTAGCAGTTTCCTTCCCTATTTTCATACCTCCCTCCACCTCTGCACATCTGCCATTCAGCCTACATGGCTTACCCTTTTCATTCAATATCAATAATCAGAGATACCATTGATTTGGGACAGACCCTGTGATGGGTATTTGTTTCATTTCAGTTGCAGGATGCCCATGCAAGGTAGTGTAGCTGTCCTGATTTTACAGATGGATCATTGATGGTTACAGAAGTAAATTACATATACATAGGAGACCTAGTAGTCAAAATTCAAATACATAATTATCCCTTCAAAGCTACATTTTCTAAAATACTAGAATATATTCTTTTCTACTGGTTTAATGTTTTCAATATTCTTTGAAATTACAGTGAATCTGACACATGTTTGGGAAATCATAACTCAAGCTGTAGGAACTGGCATTAAAGCTAATGACTGATGGGGCTTATTTTGCTTCCTAACAGTAGGGAAAGCTTTATACCAGTGAAATGGATATTGGATTGTTAGAATTTCCAGCACTTTGGCATATGGGTGAGGAATTATAGAGACTAAGAAGCCACCAAATCGAAAGTCTGTTTTTGGTCTGGAGGTTGTAAATGATTATCCAGGATGGGCCATGGTTTCAATTCATGAGGAAGCTTTTATTGGAAAACAGTGGTTTGACATCCACAGGATAGGTTTTGAAGCAAGAATTTAAAATAAAGATAAAATAAAAAGGTGAGACTGTTTCTTTCTTATCTAATTCTGTGTGTACCTATTTTCAGAGAGTTATTGCTCTGTGCAGTATGTCCTGGCTCTAGTGCAGTCCTTGAATAAGGGTCACATCTAAACAAAGTAAGAGATTCATAAATATCCATGTAAACGCAGAAAAATTCTCTTTTATACTCTAGTTCTATGCTTGAAACTCAATACATTCTTAGAGTTAAAGATTACACGAAAAGTTATTAATTTTAATTGAAATTATTTCTAAGGAATAAGTATTCATTGAAACTGAAATTTACATTAAAAGTTCAAGTCATCTAACTCCAAGATGTAGAGCAATTTATTGAATTTTGGAATGTCTACTTATGCCTTTTTCAATGCCCTGAAACCATTCTCATTTTAATATTTTCCTCACCTTTTACCTTTTCATAAATCATCCTTTTTTTCTTTTCCTATAATAATGTTCTAAATTAAAATCTGAAAGTCATGTGATCCAAAACACTGTACTAATAAAAAGAAAACTTTGACCCTAGTTATACAGCACATATATTTTCTTATTCTCAAAGTAGTTTTCACTGCTAGCTATACTCATTTATAAATCAGACTGTTCAAATGTAGAAGTGGGAAAATTA